AAATAAGCAATACACCCACACGATTCTTAACAAAAGATGATGTTGGATGAATAAAATTTATTTCGAATTTTTTCCAGATTATTTCTTATTCAGTTTAATATGGATCGTCCAACATCAACCGCAATAAATAAAGCAACGGAATATGATAAACTACAACAAATCTTAGATAAAGTACGAGATTTAAAACAATCATTAGCTAATTTTTTTACAGAATATGAACATGGTCAGCCATCATGGCCAACAATTCTCGATCAAATGAATGTTTTATCTTCTCAAATAACAACATTACGTACATCAGTACGTCATATTTTACCATTATTACGTACAAATTCTATTATGCCAATGTGTTTATCACCTGAAAATGATCTTACTGTTGAACAATTAACTGAAAGACGTTTATCAATATTTAATCATGATTTTATGCCACAATTATTACGTACAAAAAATTTACCTGAAATTGAAGAACGTGAACGTTTATTAAATACAAATTTAACTACTAATAATAATAATAATAGTAATCCAATGGGTCGTTCAATGCCAGCACCAAATGAAATTCATACACGTGTACAAGAATTAAATTTATACTTAGATCATGTTACGGCTTTACTTCGTCAAACAAAAGATGTAACAGATAAAAGTGAAAAACAATTTGATTTACAACGTTTTACAAATCAAAGTGATACAAAACGTTTATTAGATGCAATGAATTATGGTATTGGTCTTAAAGCACCTGATACATCATCATCACCTATAACAACAAATGAACAAGCGAATATGAATCAACAAATGTCAACACAACCACCAAGACAACAAGCACCAACTCTTAGAATAAAAACTGTTTCAAAATCGAATCGATGAAAAATTCTCCCTTTTTGTACAATATTTCCAAAATAAATTTATTTTCTTTTTCTTTTGTTATAGATTAAAATTTATCTCTTTTTATCCTCGAGGTATTAAATATGAGAGAAAAACGGATATTTCTCTAAAACAAAATTTATATTTATTTATTTTAATTATCGTCAACATAAAAATCATTTGAAAACAAAATTATAAATAAACAAGATTCATAATGAGTGGTGGTGCAGCAGCAGCATCAGCTCCACGTAAACAAGCAGTTGATAGTAAGTTTGTGTTTATTATTAATAAAAAAATGATTCTATAAATTTAGATCGGTCAGATGCCAGTAATTCAAAAGTAGTGACAGTAGTTGCAACACGTGGCCGTGGCAATGAAATATCTGAAGAAATATCTTATACAGATACAAAAGTTATTGGTAATGGATCATTTGGAGTTGTATATCAAGCTCGAGTTGTACATTCAAATGAGCAAGTGGCTATAAAAAAGGTTTTACAAGATAAAAGATTTAAAGTAAAATTATACGAAATAGCATTTTTCTATTATTTTTAAAATATTTTTTTTCTTATAGAATCGAGAACTACAGATTATGCGACGACTTGATCATCAAAATATTGTTCAATTAAAATATTTCTTCTTTTCATCTGGTGACAAAGTAAATGTGTGTGATTCAGATAGAAAAAATAAAAATAAAACCAACTTAATATTCTATTTTAGCAGAAAGAAGAAGTTTTCTTAAATCTTGTACTTGAATTTATACCTGAAACGGTCTATCGTGTCGCACGTCATTATACAAAACAAAAGCAAACCATTCCGATACTTTATGTCAAAGTATGTATTTTCTTCTTGAAGTTTATAATGAGTGTATTGTTTTTGTGATAAGGTTAAATTAGAATTCATTCTATAATTGAGAAGAAAAATACAGGATCTTATCTTTTTAAAATTGATGTCGATTATCTAGAAGAAAAATATATATAATTAATTTCAAATTTTTAGTTGTATATGTATCAATTATTTCGTGCATTGGCTTATATACATTCATTTGGTATTTGTCATCGGGACATTAAACCTCAAAATTTATTACTCGATCCGGAATCATCCATATTAAAATTATGCGATTTTGGAAGGTATAATAATAAAAATTATAAAACTAATTTTATCGTTTTTTTTCATTTCTAGTGCCAAACAATTAATTAAAGGTGAACCAAATGTTTCATATATATGTTCACGTTATTATCGTGCACCGGAATTAATTTTTGGCGCCATTGATTATACATGTTATATAGATGTTTGGTCATCTGGATGTGTTTTTGCTGAACTTCTTCTTGGTCAACCAATATTTCCGGGTGAAAGTGGTGTTGATCAATTAGTCGAAATAATCAAAGTATTAGGTACACCAAGTCGTGAACAAATCCGACAAATGAATCCGAATTATCAAGAATTTCGTTTTCCTCAAATAAAAGCTCATCCATGGAATAAGGTTTTTCGTAATCGTACACCACAAGTGGCAATTGAACTTGTATGTCGTTTACTTGAGTATACGCCAGCTACACGATTAACACCACTTGAAGCTTGTGCACATACATTTTTTGATGAATTACGTGATCCTGATACGCGATTACCAAATGGAACCCTTCCACCACTTTTTAATTTTAGCCAATTAGGTTTGTTATTTTAAATTATTTATTTTTTATAAGAATTAAATTATTTAGAATTAAATATAAATTCAACGCTCAATTCACGTTTAATTCCTCCGCATATGCAAGGTCAACAAACAGTAGCAGCTAGTAGTATTGCTGGTTCATCATCAAATTTAGCAGCAACTAATGCATCAGCTACAGGTGGTAATACAACAGGAGTATCGGTGACAACATCAAGTATTAATGAAAAATCGATAACACCATCAAATAATACTCCACCATCATCCGTTGTGCCAACAGTAGCAGCATCAGGAATAACAGCAACAAATTTGAATGGACCTGGAGAAAATGATGCTATGAGTAGTCTTGATGAACAGACAACAACAAGCGGTGATTCAATTAATAAAGATCGTCCTTAAACGTTCGATTTTATCTCTCTTTCTTTTTCTTTCTCTCTTTCTTTTACTCTTCATTATTGTCGTATATACGTGTGTGTGTGTGTCTGTGTATCAGTGGCTTCTTTTAATTCTTCATTTATATATATATATATATTGACAAAAAAAAAAACACAACATCATAAAATACGATCAAACATTACTGCTGCTCTGTTTTTAATAATACACAAACGAAAACGCCCAATATGTATGTGATTACTATAATCACCATTCAGCTTTAGTATGCATCTTCACCGTCGCATCTTTTTTTTCTTTTCCGTTTTTCAACATGCTTTTGTACACTATTCTTTTCTCTCCCGAAATCTGGAACTATCCTCGCGTGCGTGTGTGTGTGTGTGTTTGTTTCTCTATATATTTTTTCTCACATTTGTGTTGCTGTTCTGTAAGTGTGTGCGTGTGAGTGTTCATTTATCATCTGCAGAAAAACAATAACAACAACAACAACAACAGCTTCACTCTCATGTCAATACATACGCACATGAATTATGTCTTTTTCTTTTTTTGTCCTCCACTTTCTTTTTCTCAACTTCCTTTATTCTCTTCTTTATCTTACTTTTTGCTGTCTTTGGCTTCTTTTTCTCTCTTTTCAGCGCATATACATTATAAAGAAAAGTCGTCTGCAGCATAAATGATGAACGAAACTGAAAAAAAAAAAACTAAATATATCTTTTATTGATTTTGACCTTTTAATAGATTGTATATATATATATATGTATTCAAAAAGAGATTGATTTTTCTGTCTTGTTAATTATTGAGAATGATCAAAACTAAAGAAATCGTATATTGATTTATAATTTTTAATATTCTCTACTAATAACAGCTGTAGAATGTATGTATATCAATAATACAACTGGTGCATTGAATAATTTAGTAGAGTAGAAAATTATGAATTGAATTGCAGCTGTTAGTGAATTAAAAATATGATTATTATTTTTTCATGAGTTCTACCTCGTTTTTTTATCAACGATAACAACATTTGAGAAGACATAAAAAATTTTTAACTTGGCAAATGAGAGACATCTCTCGAAATAGTGTGATCATATGTAACAACAAGAGGACGACGAGAACATTTTATAAATAATGAATATCATTTAGAACCAATGGAGAATAGCATCATACTTGACAATTTATTTATTATTTTTTATATAAAATTTATTTTCTTTCAAAAAAAATAATTTCAGCTATGAGAATAAATGAAAATCGATATGGTTATATAATTATGCTATTTGTCTGAGAAACATAGTTTTATTATGATAATTTATCAATTAATAGTAATGTAATTATCTATTTTTATGCTAGTTTAATCTTATTGCATGCAATAAATATCGTGACTATGTCTTAATACTAATAGCCGGAATATCCGTCCTTAGAACGAGAACAAAAAAAGTAGCGTTTTATTCAAAACCATACCGGAAACAGTAGATTCTAAGGTGCCTACTGTTATGTGAGATTTTTTTTCTAGTATGAAACAATAATTATTACCTAGACGATGTATTTATAATGAGCTAGATCGTCTATTATGTAAATTTTTAAACGATTTTTTTCTCTTTCTATATTTGATATTTATTCGAATTGTTTAATGGGTTAATATTGAAAGATAAAAAAGATCGAACCTACTATCCATCATTGTTGATCGTCAATAGGATGAACAAATAACTTACCATCTTTCGTCTGATATATCATTGATGTATCTTTCTGTTCTGATTGACGTTTTGAATTCGTTTTTTTTTTGATACAACTATTGATAAATATGAATAAAGACTTTTAAGAAATATTTCTAGATTAAGAGAATGAAGTGGTCACAACACATCATTATTTGTTTGATTCAACTTGTGTGTTGGACTTCATATAATTATCCAGTAAATTCCCTTGAGAATGGACTTTTACGACAACCACCAATGGTGTATATTAAATATAATCTATTTAAACTAATATCTATTTCTGATATTGTAGGGTTGGTTAACATGGCAACGATTTCGTTGTGTTACTGATTGTCAAGAAAATCCTGATACTTGTATTAGGTAAGTTACTTTGATGAAATATTGATCAAAGTTAATCAATCTTTTTTTATTTTTAGCGAAAAATTGATTCGAACACAAGCTCAATTATTAGTCAGTGGTGGATATTTAGCTGCAGGTTATGAATATATTATTATTGATGATTGTTGGTTAAATAAAACACGAGCTGCCGTAAGTTCAAATATTCGAAAAATAATATCTATCTGTCTATAATAGGATGGTTCTTTACAACCAGATAATCAACGTTTTCCAAGTGGAATTCGAGCATTATCTGATTATGTACATTCTCTCGGGTTAAAATTTGGTATTTATGAAGATTATGGTACAGAAACATGTGCTGGTTATCCAGGTGTTTTAGGACATTTAGAACAAGATGCTCAAAGTAAAATTAATTAAAATTCTGGATCATTAATATTTTTTTTTTGAATATTTTAGCATTCGCTTCATGGAAAGTTGATTATTTGAAATTAGATGGATGTAATGCTGATATCAAAGATTATGATACAGGTTATCCAGCTATGGAAAATGCTTTGAATGCAACTGGATTTCCCATAGCATATTCATGTTCATGGCCAGCTTATCAAGAATATGCAAAAATGAAACCAAATTATTCTGCTATTGCTCAAACATGTAATTTATGGAGAAATTGGGGTGATATTGATGATTCATGGGATAGTGTTTATTCAATTGTACAATGGTTTGGTGATAATCAAGATCGTTTAGCTCCATTTCATGGTCCAGGACATTGGAATGATCCTGATATGGTAAAAACAAACAAACATGATGATTGTATATTTAATTGATCTTTATTTTATTTTTATAAATTCTATAGATAGTCGTTGGAAATTATGGTTTAAGTCCAAGTCAATCACGAGCACAAATGGCACTTTGGTCAATTATGGCTGCACCACTTATTCTTTCAGTTGATTTAAGAACAATTAGTGATTGGGCACGTGATATTATATTAAATAAAAATTTAATTGCTATTAATCAAGATCCACTTGGAGCAATGGGACGACGTATTCTCAAAGTAATTATCTTGATATTCTTTTTGACATGTCAATTTAATAGAGATTTTTTATCATGAAAATTCACATTCATTTGTTTACTTTTTTAGTTAGATGGTCATGTTGAAGTATGGAGTAAATCATTACAAAATGATCGTACAGCAGTAAGATATTCTATCAAATATTTGAAATCTATTTTATTATTTTAGTTTGTTGCACTTTTTCCTGAACCATATGGCACACCAATTCGTATGAGTATAAGTCTTACTGATCTTGGTCTAGGTCGTTTTGATGAATATGATATTTTTGAAACATTCCATGGTGATTTTCTTGGTAAATATCATAAAAGTGATCGATATAATTTTACAATCAATCCATCCGGTGATGTGCATGCATTTTATGTTGAATCAGCTCTTATTAAATCGCTCTAAACGTGCATTTCTTTTTTTTTATTTCTAATCATTTCATTTAACTTCGTGATACGTTTTTCTTAATGATTCATAGTTGCTATGATTATTTCAAACAAATAAAATTTGATATACATAAGAATTTTTCAAAAAAAAATATATATCGTTCTATTATTTGCAGATATGTCGAGGTTGTTAAATAAACTTCATTATTGTGATGACGTAGGACATAAAGAAAATTATTTATCAGGAATTCATAGTGTTAGTCATTATTGACAATGTAAAATGCATGATTTTATTATAGAGGAAATGCGAGTGAAGTCTATTTACCATATGTTATAATTGTACTTTTTTCAAAATGATGTTTACGATAAAGTTCTTTATCTTTACATATATTGCGAAATTCTCTAGATTATTCATTTTTTTTGATTTTATTGTAAACAATATGAATATTTCATAAATTTTTTGAATAGCAGCAAGTCAGATAGCGATAGAATTCTACTTTTTAAAAAGTTTGTTTTCTTAAAACACAGCTTTATAAATGTAAGATATAGTATTTTAATACAATATCCAAAAATAGATCAAAATGTATTGAAGCATATTAATATAAGTTTAGAAAATGAGTTTACATTAAGCAACAAGAAAAAAAAACAAGCAAAGTGAAGAATTTTATTTATGTATGTTGTTTTGTTTTTAATTCTATCTGACCAGAATATTGTAATGAAATAAAATATTCCCAATTATTTAAGCAGTTGAATTATCAGATGTTCTTTCAGGTGCTATACGTCGTGCTCCAGCTGGTATTGGATGTAAAATAGTTCTATGATGTGGTCGCATAGTATAACCATTTTCATTATGTAATTGATTATCATAAAGTGAACGTGTTGCTGGTAATCGATGTTTATGATGAAAACTTTCTAATTCTATATTATCATTTGAACGTAATGCACCACTTTGTTTTGTCTCAATACCTGGTACAGGTACACGTTCTTCTTTTGGTAAACGATCTTTTTCTGTTTCATCTTCTGTTTCACAATAAACACTAAAACTCCATAAATATGTACCAATACGTACTGCCTAAATAATAAAAAAAAATTTTGTTTTTGTATTTCAACGTTACATATTTGATTTCTCTCTTACGGTAAAAACTGCAATACTAAATCCGAGTATTGCTCCACCAATAACATCTGTTGGATGATGTTTAAAATCAGTAATACGTGATAAACAAGTAAAAAAAGCTATTGCTATACATATACATTGAAGAAATGGTTTAAGAAATTGTATATTTGGACAAACAAGACGTGCTTCAAAATACACCTATGAAAATAAAATAATTAAAATTTTTTTCATTATATTTATATTAATATATTTACAAATAAGAAAACAAATGCATATGTTGAATAACTTGAATGACCTGATGGAAATGATAATCTTGCTTCTTGAAGTTGAGTTGCTGTTGCTGTTGAATTACAATTATGATCTGTAATGTATCTAATATATAAAACAATATATATATATATATTTTGTTAATAAACTAAAATTTACAGTGGAATATTTAATGAACCACTTGCAGTTGATATTGTTTGTGTACATTGAATATTACTCCACACAGGATTACAAATACTTAAATAATATGGTCTTAATCGACCAATAGTACCTAGAATAAATTTGAAATCTTTTTACAAATTTATATTTAATATATTTCTTACGTTTGCCAACTTCAGTAATAAGAAAACAGATAGCAATGCCAAGTATAAAAAGAAATATTGATTGAAAAATTGTTTTAAGATAATCAACTTGACGTTGTTTTAAACTATTTTTACTTGGTCCACGACCACAATGAAACGGACGAACTACCCAAATTTCCACGATACAAAACTATAAATAGATTTTTATTAATTCTTATAATTATTCATAGTTCGACACACATGACATACAAAGGTATCCAAGGCAAACAAAATATTTTCCTCAAATAACAGTTTTTGTTAAGATTAAATTATTTTGACATTAACGAGAATTAAATCTCAATAAAAAATAGATTTAATCTTAATATTCGATCGTTATTTTTCATATCTTATCAAAAATATCCTGGACTACATTTATAAAAACTTACAATAATAACAGGACCAACTCCACCATAAACTCCAAGTAGCCACATTGGAATTGTATCAGGTTTATTTGGATATCGGATTGATGTATCATCACAAAAAAAACCCTTTTTGTACGGGTTTAATTAATAGATAAATAAGAGCAAATACCAAACATGCTATTAAAAAAAATTATATTTAAAAATTAAAAAAAAACAAGTTCTATCTATGATATTTGTTGACATACTTGCTGCAATTGCCAAAATATCAAATACATGATTTAATAAATGTCGTCGTTTAGATTTTTTTGGTTGAGTTCCTTTTTCCACATCATGATTTGGTTTAGTAGTACCGCCTAATTTATCCATGATAAAGCCTATTTCACTTGTCGGAGGTGATTCTAGAAGAGCACACGTATATTAGCAATGCTTTTCATTAAAATGCTCAAAAGAGAAAAAGAAAAATATCACTCAAAGAAAAAAATTTAAACGCCTACTTAAGCAATTTTAATCATTGTTTTATTTTGCTTGACGTTGAAAAAAAATGACGTAGAATAGAATAGCAACAAGCTTTTTTTTTGTCATTGCATTGTTTTCAGGAAATGTAAATTATTAGTGCGTAATCATTGTTTTTTCTTCTCATTTATGATATTTACAAAGTAAATCGAGAAAAAAGTATGTTGTCAACCGCTAATGGCCGTCTGTTTTGTAATTTGCAAGATGGTTAATATTTTTTTATGAGAAGATACATAAAATAAGAAATGTCATGGGTACTTATACATTCATTTTGTTTTAAACTATAGATAACTCAAAAAATTAGTGCAGGTAATTAACTCGTTATTTTTTGTATTATATTAGACAAAACTGGACGAGTCATTGAACTGTTTTAATTCAAAATTGTTGTTATGAATAGTATGACTTTGTTTTTTTGCTTTAAAAGTCATATCTTTCTTATAAACTGATAAGAAAAAATGTTGTTTTTTTTAGTTGCTAGGTAATCGTTCGTTTATCTTTTGATATGACTAGTATTAGCCGTATATCATTCAATATTTAACAATCATGATTTTATATAAAAATAAAATTACCTGACATTTTGAATTATCCAAGAAAGAAACAATCACCGAAAATGAAATATATATTTCGATATCTCTCGCTTTTTCTCTCTATTCTTTTACTTAATGATAAGAAATATAAAAAACAAATCATCGATTACTCACCATTATTTCGTTCTCGTGTCAATAATTGTTGTTCATGTTCATAAGAATTTGTACATGGTCTTTCATATATACTTCCAGGTCTATTTTGTGCTTGATAATGAAAATGTGGTGGTGTTATTGGTTGAAATGTATCATATAATGGATTATATTCTGCCGTTCCTCGTTTTCGCGATGGATATCTTTCAAGAACATATCGTCTTTTTGTAGCTGAACAAAAATACATATCAGGTGTATAATAATTATAATAATCATCAGAAATAGAGAATATCATGTCTAGTCTTTTCGGTTTTTTTTTCTACTCGAAATGAATAGCAAACAAGATAAGATAATCGAATTGAAACTTGCATCTACTTACATTCAGGAGATTCATAATATGGAGAAATCGTATAAATGACGGGTTTCATCATTTCTTCGTGTTGAACTAATGCCCTTACGACAAGTTGAATACGTTTATCATTTCAACAATTGTAATTCATCTCATCGAACAACTTGACATTTTATGTACAACTTTATACTTTTTTATTTAGTCATTCATCTATTATAGCCACAATAAAATAATGTCAAGGTTTTCCTTGGCTACAGACCTCAAAATCTATGATTAATGATTTAGTTCGTGAAAAATGTAAATACGATCTAAATCAATAAACTGATATTTTCTATACCAAAGAATAACTAATTCTGTATAAAATATGTCAATTTATAAGATAGCGGAATTGATCATTGAATTTATGATTACTTATACTTATCTCCTGACAGTGTAGGTGCGTTTATAAGTAGTATAGATTGAATAACTACAACACCTTAAATACATAAAAGCATTATCTTGTATACCTCAAGGATAAAGATATGAATATAAATTGCATATCAAATTACTGTAATATATTTTAAAAAACTTCAAATATAATAAATATAAAAGTTTTATGAGAAATTTACTAATAATATTTGTGAAGAGAACTTATGTATTTCAAGTATTACTATTGAATAGATTTTATGAAAAAATGATTAAAATATATTTGAGAAAAATAATTATTGTAATGAATGTTTTCATACCTTCGTCTTCCAATAAATCCATATTCAATCGATTTGACAAATATATCAATAATGATAAACAAAATCAATTCTTCTATCTTTCTTTTTCTCCTTTTCTCTATCTCTCCCTATAGACAATATAATAAATCGATTGATATTAAATGTTAGTTAGACAAATAAGAATTTAATTCAAAATGACATGGTCATTTCTCTTATATATAATTTACCTGGTAATTGTTGAGTACGTCCTCTATTATAATTTGTTCCGCCAACAAATAATAACGGATAATCATTTTGATGTCCGTCAAACATTGCAAATAAAAACTAAGTATCGTACATATACATATTTCGTTGATTAGCGAAAAAAAAGACTTTTTTTTGTTATTCTTCAAAGTGTTCTTGTCCTATATGGTTTTTTTCTTACACAAAGTGTAGGCGTTTTTTGTGTTCTGTTTTTTTTAATGGTTGTACTTGCACAACCAAAAAGCAAGAACATGAATGTTGCCTGTAAAAAAACTATATATACAATGCTTCTAACTTATATTTTATTATACAAAGTAAAAACTTTGAACATTTTCTTATATACAAAAAGTAATTATACTAATGTGTAGTGAAGCTAGCAAAGTTCTTCTTGCTGAAACATGGTCAGAAGATGTTGATCCAACTGGATGGTGGATGAGTGAGAAGCTCGATGGTGTTCGGTATGTTTTTTTCTTCTTAATAAAAACATTGATTATATTGTAATTGTCAATATATATTTTAGAGCATATTGGAATGGAAAAAATTTTTACTCTCGTCAAGGAAATCTTTTTCATGTTCCTGATTTTTTCAAGGCTACTCTTCCTAAAGTCGCACTTGATGGAGAAATATGGTAAGATTGTTTTTTTGTTTTTTCTCTAAAGGTGTCTTTATTTATTTATTGTGTTGTCTAGGTGCGGACGTGGTTTATTTCAAAAATGTGTTAGCATTGTAAAAAAACAAGCCAATAAAGTTGTACCAGATGATTATAAACTTTTAACATATTTAATTTTTGATGCACCAACTCAAGGAGGAAAATATGAAGATCGTGTTAAATGGTTACAAGCAAATATTCCACAAGATGATGATAAATGTTTTGCAACAGTTGTCGGTATTAAAAAATGTGAAGGTTTAGCACAATTGAAACAATATTTAGCTGATGTTAATAAAGCTGGTGGAGAGGGTATTATGCTTCGTAAACCAGGTAGTCTTTACGAACATAAACGTTCAACAACTTTACTTAAAGTAAAAACATTTTATGATGAAGGTAAAGAAAAATTACAATTATTATCATTTGAAATATAATTGATTCTTTTTTTCAATTTTTAGAAGCGTATGTAATTGGACATAAGCCTAGTAAAAGTTTAATAGGTATGACAGGTGCACTTGAATGTGAATTACCTAATGGAAAACGATTCGATGTTGGTAGTGGACTTACGATGGATCAACGTCGAAAACCACCAAAAATTGGTTCTGTTATTACATTTAAATTTCAAGAATTATCTAATAATGGTCATCCACGGTTTCCTACATTTCTTCGAGTTCGTACTGATTTAACATGGAATGATGTACTCGAAGCAGCTAAAACAAAAAAACCAGTTAGTACAATACAAAAAATTGTTCCATCAGCTAAATTATCGAAACAACATTCAATATTATTTTCTGTTGTTCCATCACGTGATGCAACTACAAATAAAAAAATTGTCACATCGGATGATGAAGATGATGATGCACCATCAACAACATCATCACCATCGAAAACTACAGATACACGTAAAATATGTCAATATGGAGCAAAATGTTATCGAACAAATGCTGATCATTTAAAAAACTTTCAACATCCATCATCAACACCTACTAAAACAACACAACCAGAAACGACAACGAAACCTGTTTGTACCTTTGGTGCCAAATGTTTTCGTACAAGTTCAGTACACTTAGCTACTTATTCTCATCCACCTAAAAGTGAAAATAAAGATACTACTGGTGAAGATGAAGCACTTGATACACGTGAATTAATGGAGAATGAAGAACCTGCTTCACCAACAACCACTGATAATTTATTAGCTAAAGATAAAAACAAAGGTCTCACATTCGATGATGACGTTGATGAGGATAATAATCAAGATCAAGAAATGGTTACTCGTCCAAAAAAAGATTGGATAAATCTTGAAAACAAAGTTAACGAACAAACAAAATGTCTAGCTCATCTTGAAGAAATATTCAAGAAAACAAAACGATCAAATTCAACAAATGATGACAATCAAGATAATGTCAAACGTCCTAAAACTGATTAAAATTTTTTTCTTTTGTATTTAAATACGCCAATAATACGTTGTTTTTTTATTTTCGTTGTATTGTAATTTTGTTTTTGAAAAAAAAAGAGTCTCATTATTTGAGATACATATACACAAACAAAAAATTAATAATAATAATAATTTAGAAGACAACAAATACATAAAAATAAAATAGAAAGAAATACTTCTCGTTTATTTTTCTTTCTTATGAGACAATGATTGTCATTTAGAGAGAAAAATATCTTATTTACACACAGGGATTCGCGCAAGACAGGTGACTAGAGTGCATAGATATATGGCATATTTATGTGCGGTATGTAATCAAGGACAAAAAATGAAAAAAAAAAAGAAAAAGAAAAAGAAAAGAAAAGAAAACAGCAACACAGGGATATTGGCTAACATCGTCATATTCACTGTCATACCATTTGTTTTTCATCAGTTGTTTGTTGATGTATTATATCACTAATACTTGTTGGTATTTTTAACTGTTGTGAAGCATCTGTTGCTATTAGATCATTTATTGAACCGTGTTCATCAACAGTCATTAAACTACTTGTTTTACGTTTCGTTGATTTTATTTCGTCTTTATCATTTGTCGTATTTAAATCAAAACGATTTGCATATGATTTTGGCGATTCATTTAGATTGGAATGAAGTACAATATTTTGTTGTGATGAAGTTGATCGTCGATGTTGTATCACATTGGCGGTGGTAAGTGTATGACCTATTGATCCTGAAGCACGCGGTGTTAATGAAAGAGGTAATTGAAAATCGCCGAGTTCTTCATCAAGTTCTTCCTCGTTGGTTGCAGTATTATTATTATTTGTGCGATCCTTTGAAATAAGAATATTTCAATAATTTCATTTTAATATATTTTTTTTTCTGTATAAATTAATTATGTAAATTAAAAGCAATTGAGAAAGCTTATCTAGAGCTTTAGAATCTTAGCAAAGATATATATGAAGAGAGAGAGAGGATCACTGATATGATCTATTCAATTTATGCTCGATTGGTAATCAGTATTTGCTGTTTTTCAATAGATATATATCTGTTTTGGGTCAATACTAATAGAAAACAACGACCCGTATTTTCCAGATCAAAGGAAGTTATTTTTTTAAATGAAAAGGAAAAAAATGTAATAGACGTAGATAAGCACACACATTTCCTAAAGAATTATTTAGCATGCAAATATTGTCATTAAAAAGACTTAGAGATTAGTAGTAAAATTTCTAACAAATTGATAAAGGTTATTCGATAAATATCGATTCGGATGTATGTTTAGGTCCAGCGAACTCTATTTACTAGTAAAAGTCAATTGCACTATAATTACTATAAGATTACTGTCAAGATTGCCTGTCAAATGTATATTGTATGTTATGCATCAATAAAAATAAACGAGAAAAAACAAATTCTGATTTTTTTCTAGAGTAATTATCAGATTTAACAAGAATAATTTCCTTTACAAATTATATGAATTCTAATCAGACTTGAATATAAATATTTCGAATTCAACAGTTCCTTATCCTATAAAAATCTACTATGCAATTTAATAGTATTTTTCATTTCCTTCGTTGATGTACTCAATTAATAGTTTGTTTCTATATAATTTAAAGACAACTTACAATACTGTGTTTGAAGGACGTTTTCTTTCTTCGTCGTACTCCACAACACCACCATTTACGACGATTCAATATAAAATGTCTCGCAGGTGAGCCTAAACGAGCCATGCCAGTAGCTGAATGACCACCGGCAGCAGTATTTGCTCCGCCACCACCACTATTCATTAATACATCTGGACCCATTTCAATAAATTCTCGATCCTACAAAAACAAAAAAAACAAGATTAATTTTATATATTAATGATAGATCATTTTTAATATACAGTTGTTAATTCTAGACAACGAAGTAAATGATGATGTTGTAGTTCAAATGGATTAACAAGATTTTTATCAACAGAAACATCTGGATCATTAAGATACTGTTCATGACGTCGTTTAGCAGCTACGAATGCATTACTTGTTGCATTTCGTGCTAAACGTATACGTGTTAGACGTGCTTTTCTTTGTGCTTTCATTTTATCTGCTCTCTGACTTTGATGATAAATTCGACTAAAATTTGATACAATAACAGGTACTGGAAGAGCAATGACCAGTACACCACTTAAACTACATACACCACCAACAATTTTACCCGCCCTAAAATTAATAAATTATAGAAATTAATTTCATAAATAAAATTTTTTACTTACCAAGTTTTTGGTACTATATCACCATATCTAAAGAAAATAAGCAGAATATTATAATTAAGTAATCATTTATCATACATTGTCATCTTAAAAAAACCTTTCGAGAAAAAAAAAATATATATTTTTTGCATACATTAAACGAGATATTTGATTGAATGACAGGAAAAAAAATAACAATTAGTTATGTTATTTTTATGAAATTCTAATGATTGATATTTATCATATGCTCGATTCTTGGTATAAAGAAAAGTATTGTTGTTCTTAGTATTTTTCTCGATAATAGAATAAATATCGTATATATATATATTGCATTAGCGGGTTCACACGTTTGCTTTAGCCCAGGGCATAGACACGATCAATTTTGTTTACACTTATTTGGGAATTATTGTTCTTTACGATATTATGAAAGTACCCCAATAGCAAATACAATCTTTTTTTTTCTATATAATCTAATAAAACATACACTACATCAAAGTGTAACTAAATCTATAGAAACGATATTTTCTAACAAAAAGTGTCAGCTAACAATATTATAGTGCATTGTTAAATTCTTTTTTTTTTCTTCTTCACCTTTCCATATTTATAAATATGATTAGTCACGATAGCTGACTTCAGACACATCCGATTGAAATTTTTTCTTACTAATCAAATTATAGACTAACTTTGAACAAGTCATGTACTGTTAATGATCTGGATCATTTATTCTCTAATAAAATTACTAGATGTTATAAACTATAAACAGTTCAATAAAGATTATACTTTATAGAATTTGACATTGTTAATAAGTATTGCAAAAATTGAGTTTTCTTTAATTATAATTGTTCATTTACCTGATGGAAATAATCAATTCTAACTCAATACATTCGTATATGTCTATGACCTTTAGAAAAACCAGTCTATCTAATCGTAAGTTATAAATATTCTTTAAATAAGATCATATGCCCCTAGGATCCTTATTATTCATTCTTATAATTATCTTTGTATTTAACAAACATTCGTTTCTTACCCAAGTGTTGTCATTGTAACGATTGTATACCAAAATGCAGCTGGTATAGAGGTAAATTTTGTATGAATAACACTTTTTTCAGCATAATACATAACAGTAGCAAATATAATAATGGCCATTGTTAATGAAAATAATAGAAAACCAAGTTCACTAGCACAACTTTTTAATGTATAACCTAATACTCTTAAACCTTGACTATGACGAGAAAATTTAAATATACGAAATACACGAAATACTCGAAGAGTAACAAATGCTCCGCTAACTTCGCCTTTTTCATGCATAAATAATCCAATATAATACGGCATAATAGCAACAACATCAATAACAGACTATAATGAAATAACAATTGTGAAATAAATAGATTTATTATTATTTTTCTTTTCATATTTTATCTTCCTTACCATAACAGATCGAACAAATTTCAATCGATCAGGTGCAGCATATAGACGAAGAAAATATTCAACAGTAAATATCATAACACAAGCTGTATCAAGACAAAAAAATTGACGAGAAAAACGTTCACCACATGATCTTGGATAACCTGTTTCAGGATCAGTTCCACATGATACAGTATCGAGAACATTAGCAATAACACTAACGGCTATAAAAAATCCCGTTACATAATAAAATACAGATGCCATAGTTGATACTTGAGGATTTTCAAATGCACGCCACATTGTTTCACGTAATGATTGTGGTTTTGGTTGGGCTTTATCTTCGTCTTCATGAAGACGATCATCAATAAGTCGTTCATTATTTTCACGTTTACGATCTCGATAATCTTCATAGCAACAATCACCGATTATATCTGGTAATATACCAAAAAATGCTAATTCCTCATCATATGCTGCTATACATTCATGTTTTGGATAATGTAATTTACCAGTACGATAAAAATTTAATATGACACGAAATACATCAGGATCACGATCAAAAAAATATTCGTGTGTATCTTCATCATAAAAGAATTCTTTTTCATTTGAACCTAATAATGAATCGGGATATTTTTCTAATGTTGAACGCCAACATTCAAAACGACGACCACTAACATTTATGATGATTTTTTCATCACAACGACGATCAGTACTACTTGTTGATGCACCATTTGTTGGAATACGAAATGGTGGTGGTGGTAAAGGATTTTTTGCTAATGGTACCCAACCAATAGCTGCTGCTCGAGCAAATGGAAGCCATGCAGCTACACTAGCCATTTTATATCTCTTATTGTTTTATCCTAAATAATCAAAACAAAAAAAAATATTTACTTATTTAGATTTTCTTTTTTTTTTGATAAAAAAATGTTCATGATAGATAAAGAAAGAAAAAAAAATATCCTAATTAATAAATCTATCTGAATATGAGAAATGAATAGTATCTTCTATTAAAAAAAGAAATTGTTTCGATTAAACAATATGGTTATATATATATTATATGCTTTTAGATTAATATAGATTGATATAAATCTTATATATATATAAATAATAGGATCTAATTTTTCCTGTTTACATTAAACATATGTTCATTATATTGATGTATTTCTTCGTCATCTCATTTTTTTTCTATCCTAAGTCTTTTTTTTTTGTCTTCTAACTATGTCGATATGTCTTTTTCTTATTTTAATGCCCATCAGTTTTATAACAAAGACTAATACTCTTCTTACAGAAATAGATGCAGAAAAAAATGCTTGAAATTATCATAATAATAATAATCATAATAATAATAATAATAATAGCGATAATTGCTAATTAACAATACAAACCTACTGTGCGCCTATGCGCACCTCACTACTTGATGTGTAACAATGTATAGTGTGCCGTTGATTTAACTTGATTATTATTACAAAACATTAAATTTCATACGAGAGCAGATGTTCGTCGTCTATCAACATAATGTAAATGTATCTTGAAAGAAAAAAAAAACGACACAAAAGAAAGTCGGTGTATGTGTATACACGTTCGTATTTGTATCGTGTGAATTGGATGGTAAGAGACGGACAATAGAATAAGGAAGAAAAAGCAAAAACGAAGGAGAAAAAGAAGAAGAAGAAGAAGAATGGAAAGACGAGGAATTCTACTGCCACCCTGGTGAGTGTCAATTCGAAGAGACATTACGATTGCTTTGCAATAACACACACACACACACATAGAAGAAAACGAAGAAGATGCAAGATATAGAGCAATGAGAAGAACAGCTAGGGTGAGACAGAGAGAGAGAGAGAACTCGTTATAAATAGAAGAAAAACGACAAGATATCTCAATCGATGTTATGCGCGTGTGTATGCGTGCGTGTGTATACCGTGCATCGGGCGAAGGCTATGGAAGAGAATTGGAGAGACCTTTGTGTGTATGTGTGTTCCATTATGATTATTTTCCGGTAGCCTCGTTTTTCTCTGCTGCCGCTACTACTGCTAACATCGTCGACATCTCGTCAAGCACGACAACCTTCAAGCCACATGTGCCGACTCTCTCTCTTTGTTTCTCATCGTCGAATGCTCAACCAGGGCAACAAGCAAACGAACTGATTTTTTTTCTTGTTCTTTTCTCTTATTTTTCTTTCTATTCACTCGTTTCTCTTTGTATATAGATATATATATATATAGATATATATATATATAGATATATATATATATATATGCGTGTGTGTGTGTGTGTTCCTTTTTCTTTTATTCCGTACACTCATCATCATCTACTAGAGTCGAGTGACAATAATGCCTTGTTGTCCTTAAAGATATTTTTGATTATTGAATCGACATTGTGACATTAGGTTAACAAAATATATATCACTATAGATATATATATATACAAATTCAAGAGATAATCATAACTATCATTTAGAATAAAAATCAGTGAATGATTACATTATATTATCGTATGTGTAACAGAAAAATCCAAGAAAAAGAAGTGTCACCATCTGTTCACTATTGAAGATATTTGAATATATTTTTTTCTCTTATGCTGTTCCTAGATCTCTGTTTTTATTAACGAAAGAACAAGAATCCATTATAGATTACTCTATAATGATAGACAGGATACTATTTCTAGACGTATGACGTCTTGATTGGTGTTTTAATTATGTGACGAAAGTGCTCTAGCTACCAGATTCTATTGACGTACCCTAGAAACAGTAGTGACAACCATGATAACAACAATAACAAACAGTGTGCCATCTGAGAACAACAACAACAGCAGGAACGACACCACAGCTTTTGTAAACAGTTGGATGATCTACTGGTGCTTGGATGTCATTATATAAATTTCTATCATTGGTCTGTTGTCTAACTTTTCTGTTTTACTTTCATGCCATTCTAGATCAATGAATGGGTGAATGAGAGCGTATAGACATATGTATATTTGTATATATATAATACTATATAGTTTGTATTTGTGAAACTTTTTTTTCTGTCCTTGGTGGTTACTATTGTTACTATCTTTTGATTTCGTCATGTCCACACGATACGATTTATCAATCAATCAATCATAAACATGCAATTTTTGCCTATGGCATTGTCAACATTTTACTTGTTCACTACGCACTCATTATTCGTACTAATCGTGCGAGCACTCACGCACAAACAAACACACACACACACACATACCCATATACACACATACACATGCAGTAAAGTCAACAGAAAAAACAAACGGAACAAAATGAACAGTCAATTATTCGATTAATCATTGTGTTCTTTTCTCTTTTTTTTTTTTTTGTTGATCGTTATTTATTGACGTCAGCAAAAATGAATAAGATAAAAAAAATTGGTCACAAGTGACCAACTATACTTAGCAAATCTCGAGAGAATTTAATGTTTAGAATTTATACTTTCTATTTATTAAATAATAACATTGACATAATATCATCAATCGATCAAATGCCTATTATCATTAACAATGAAATAGATAGCAGTCAATCTTTTGACATGTTACCTTTCATGATAGAATATCTTTAAGATGTGAATGATAATTCTTATAATAAATAATTAGTTTACTTCGAAATTGACAAGCGGATATATTGTAAAAGGAATTACATGATGTCCTAAACAGATATAAAGACTTACTTGATCTTTTTTTTTATTTTTGTCTTTAACTATATACGCCTATTCTACGTCAATACTGTTTTCCGTCTCATGCTCGTTCATTCAATCGTTCGTTCGCATTTTTTTTTTCTTCTATTACATTATTTTGAATTATTTGAGATAGTAATAGTTAGTTCAGTGAACGAAACAAGAGTGAGAATCGGATAGATATGAAACGAGCCGAGTTGATCCGATCGCATCCGATCCGAATCAAGTTCAATGCAATAAGAAAGGATTAGATGAAGCGTTGTTGATATGAATGAGCCGTCAGTGTTACAGTGATTAGAATATGAGCTTTAACAAGCAACAATACAAATACTATTGAGAAAAAAGACGAAGAACGAAAAAAAAAATAAGACTAATAATAAAATCATTTATTGTATTCGGATGACATCTATATATATACAATAAAATTATTGGTTAATCAAAATGAGCAAAGAAGACGATGGCTTTGTCGTCAGCAACAACGTTTTTCTACGCATTGATATTAGCGATAGAATTGGTAATAAGAAGTTATTTGTTTTTTTTTGTTCAATTCTCATATATAGCGTGTTCAACATTGTTAACTCATAAGAAATTTTAGATGTCTCAAAATTCAGGACCATTTCTTGTTTCTTCACATGGTCATCCAGGATTTAATCCTCGACCACCACCATCATCATCAACAGCATCATCTACATCATCGAAACGAATAAGCAACGGTCTTATGACTGGTCCTAGTCCAGGAAATACATCTATGGGTCCTAATATGGGTCTATCATCATCACCTTCACCAATGCGATCTGCTGCTTCTATGGGACCTATGAAACCTGGTAGTGTTGGTATGGGTTCAATGGATAAATCTAATTCAATGCCTTATTCAAATCGTTATAGTCGTAAACCATGGTCTATGACACGTAGTATTCATGGTAAATAATTAAATTTTTCATATAGAAAAAAAGAGAAAAATTTTAAAATAATTTTTTTTTCTAGAAAAAAATATTCGTGGACATGATGATCATGAAGCTCCATATCTTCGTCCAGGTATTCCAGGTCATGGTGGTCCAATCGATAATATGAATAATTCTTCATTTACAATTGAACCATCTACAGACGATGATGAAGCTGATGATATATATTTTTCATCACGACATATAGCTGCTGCACGTTTTCAACGTAATCAACGTTTATTATGTGAAATATTTAATGAAGTTTGTATACCGGATTTACGATCGAATGTTAGTGTTGATCGTATATTAACATTACGTCGACAAGTTGATGCACTTAAAACACATCGAGAAACATTTGAAAAAGATTTGAATGAATTAGAAGAAAAACATGTAGACAAAAAACGAAAATTTTTAGAAGCAAATGAAAAATTTCATGAAGAATATGATGATGCTTCGACAACAAATTTAAGTCGAGAGAAAATTAGTGAAATATTACAAAAATATGAAGCAATGGAAAAATTACAAAAAGAAAAACAATTACTTTTACAACAACAACAACAAGCTGCTGCTGCAACACCACCACCACCTCCACCTACACCAACAACAACAGCAGCACTAGCAGTTCCTTCGCAACCAAATGTCGTTACTGCACCAACTAAAACTGAACCTGTATCAATTGCTGAAATTCCTCAACAACAACCACCACCGGCACCACCATCGTCATCGCAACCATTACCACCACAACCTATATTGGCACAACCACCTGTACCAGCTCAAATACCTCCTCAACCTGTACCAAATCATATGCCTCCACAATCTGTACCACCTCAAATGCCTCCTCAACCTGTACCAACTCAAATGCCACCTCAACCTATACCTGCTCAAATGCCTTCTGTACCACCACCACCACATGTGCCATCACCAGTTCCTCCAACACAACACATACCAACATCAATGCCACCAATACAACATGCTCAATCCCCAATGGCGCCAACTCAACCTGTACAAGCTCAATTACCACCACCTCCACCACCGCCATCTGTAATGCAACAAGTACCACCGCAGCAACAAATACTACCCCCACAACAACAACAACAACCACCACAGCAGCAACAACCACCTCAACCTCATCAAGGCTATCCAATGATGCATCAAGGAGGTGGCTACCCTCCAGCACCAGGTTATGGTCATCCTCAACAAGCTCAACAATATCGACCACCGCATATGAATCAACGTCCTGCACAATATCCACCAAATGTTCAATGGCAACAACAACAACAACAGCCACCACCATCACCTCAACAACAATGGCAACCTAATGCATATGGTAATAATTTCATTGAGATTTTTATTTTATTTTTTGTAAATCTTAGATCCTCGATATTACAATCCTTATCCTCCTAATGTTCAATGGCCTCAACAACAACAACAATGGCCACCAAATCAACCTCCATCTCAACAGCAACAACAACAAATGGGTATTATTCCACAACAACAACAGCAACCCATGGGTGTTGCTCCTCAACAACAACAAGGACCCCCGCCTCAAATGCGTGGCCCTCCTCAACAACAACCACCACCACAAATGTATGTAAACGGAGTTAATTATGGTTATGGTGGCGGTCCTGGCAGCTGGAATGGTGGTGCACCACCACCACCACATCCATCTCAACAATATGGCTATCCACAAAATCCACCCTATGATCCATCAGGTGTTTCTGGACCTCCTCAACAGCAATATTATCCACCACCACCCCCACAAGGTTATGATTATGGTCCACCACCTCAACAACAGCAACAACAACCACCACAGCAGCAAATTCCTCATCCTCCTCCTCCTCAACAACAACAACAGCCACCACCACCACAATCACAGATGAATTGATAATTCTTATAAATTTGTTTGTTTGTTATATAGAAACTTTTTTTTTCTCTGTATCTGTACAAAAATATTTGTCTGTATATCTTCAAAAGAAAATATTTCATTCGATATGTTCTAGATTTGTTTTTTTTTAAATTTTATTCATGGCATCATTACGCCCATGTCTTAGTTTAGTACCAAAAACAGTCGGTCGTCGACAATTTAGTTTAAGTTCACGTAAACGCTTACAAGATAATTGGGATCAAGAAGCTTTACCAGGCTCTAATGTACCATTTAATGGTAAGAAAATTTTCATAATAAAAAATTAAATAAAAATTATATTTTTTTTCTTCTAGCAAACAGTAAATGGGGTTTAGCAACGACGTTAATTCTTTATGTATCAACTGCTGTTGCTGTTCCATTCTTTGCTATGCGTTGGCAATTGCTTAAAAAACGTGCTGGTTAATCTGTTAATTCAATCTTTCATGTTTTTCCTATCAACATCAACTATCGAACATTCTTTATAGTTAGAAAAGTGATATTCTTGTCCAACTCCATTTCATCTATAGAAATAAACATTTTTCCTACTAATGAATTATTTATTTACTGATAAATATAGAAATATACAAAAATAGCTATAATATAGAATGATCTAAATAAAACAGTTACTTGTAAATTTCCCATGAGATCTTTTTATAGAGTTCTTTCTTAAATAAACACATCATTATTTCTCCACATATTCACAGTCAAGTGTATCATTATAATCAAACAAGTTCTATTAAATATTAAATCTACTTCTTGTGGTTGTTCACATATCTATATGAAAGAGTATACTCTTTGACATTTTCTATAAATAATACATTAATTAAATGAATACTTTTAAGTCACGATACATTAATAATTATTTGTCATCGCGTATCACTGAATGTGATAAAAAGATTTTTTTGAAATCTAGAAATAATTTTATTCCAAAACATAAGATGATCGTTTTCTTTTTCAACTCACTAAACAAAATCATGAAATATACTTTGCACTGACATTGTCAAATCAAGATCAATATCACTTATAGTTTCATAAACTTGAGAATATTATATAACAAAACATAAACGTAATCATTGTATGATTTCTATTAGTTCACTAAGGTTTAATGGAATTTCTTTATTATTTTATTCTCTCTTTTTTTTTTCATTCTATTTACTTAACATTATCAAAAAAACTACGACACTCATTTTCAATCAATACCTATTGACTTGATACAATGTTATTACGTGTAGTTATTAATGTAAAAGTAAATGATGAGATGTTACATCAAACATTATTATTATTTGTCTAATATTGATTTTTTGTTCTTCGTTTAAATATGCACAGTTAGTTCAACCCCATATTTTATACATCCTATGATTATTGATTACAATGTAAGCTACGCGTGAGTAATAGAACACATCGCAGAGAACATTATTGTTCATAGGACTAGAAATAAGCATTCATTTTATTAGAATAGTGAGAGACTCATTCATAATAAAACAGTATTGAACGAACTATTGTCTGTCTGACATAAGAAGGTGCTTATTATTGAAAAAATGCTTATGAGAGAAGTAATTTTGATATAATACAAAAAAAATAGAGTAGAAATATGTATCTTAGAATTTTATTCTTATATCACAATATGCTTTGTGACAATGAATATCAAAATCGTTCACTTTCTTCTTTCATCATCATCTATGATTAACAATACACAAGGCCTTCAAATCAAGAGAATGATTATATAATCATCTCACAAAAAAAAAAAGAAATGCTCTAGGTTATCTCTGTATTACAATATCGAATGAATAATAGAGTTCTTTCGTTTTTTTCAAAACTAAAGTTATTTCATCTCTTCTAATTTAAATTTTATTATGTATATGAATACTAATATCAATTATATATATATATATATAAGTATCTTAACAACATCAATGCGTATATATGATTGCGTGGTCATGCTTATTCGTATTGACCCTCAATCATTGGTATATTATGTTTACTTTGAGCAGTAGTAAAATGTCCTTGTAGATAGAGAGAAAGAGAGAACGAAAACCAGGGACAAATGAAAGAAAAAAAAGGAACTTTTCGTTTTTTTTTCTACTGGCAAGTATGAGCAGATACAAGAACAACAGAAAAGAAGTGATGAGAGAAAGAGAAATGTACAAACATTTTTTGCATAATCACCTATATGTATATATATATATATACACATACGATTTGAGACGCGTGTATCTTCAATTTCATCATATAAAAAAAATCGTATTCTCGTATATGATTGAAAATGTCCTTGGCAAAACGAACACGTTTTATACTTATACAAAGTACAAGAAATGCCAATGCAACGGAAGATAATACTGAACCATATCATATAAGTATATTTCGACGTTCATCATCTATGCCACCATTACCTAAACGAACATCATCAACATCAAAACTTAATTTTCTTCGACGAGAACAACAACAGCCATCAAATTCTTCAACTATGGTTGTTTCAAAATCTCAACAACGTGATAAAGATGAAATATTACCACCAAATAAATTTTATCGATTAAATATTCAAACAATGAAAAAAAAATCTGCACGAATTACTATGCGTTTATCAAGTGCATTTGGTTTAACAGCACATACAATTGATGAACAATTTAATTTTCAAGAACAACGTTTTCGTGCTATTGAAAAATTTTTAAAATTATTTCAACGAAATATTTATATAAGTATTGAAGCATTTAGGGTAAATTTAATTTTGTTATTTACGATATTACGAATTTTTTTGGTTTTTAGGAAACTATTTTAACACAAGTTGATGTCGCTGAAGATCTTGAAGAATTATTAAACGATAAAATGCCGGATTTAGTACAACAATTTCTTGGATCAAAACGTTCATTACTCGAACATGCATTTAAAGAATTTGTAAGATTATTTTTCTTTTCTTTATCATAATTCTTGTTTTATCAAACAGCGCAATCATATTGAATTATATGTTATTCATTCAATAAATATTTTAATAAAATTATTTATTTTACCATCAAATCTTATATCAAAAAGACATAATAAATTATTAGATTATGATAGTGCTCAATCAGCTTATGAAAAAGTGAAAGATCAACAAGTGAAACAAGTATAAGAAACGAAAAAAAAAATTATAATTTTCATTTTTGCTTTCCAAAAATCTAGGCAAAACAAGTACTCGATCTATCGAAACAAACATATGAGATATTAAATAATCAATTATTAGAAGAATTACCCATTTTATATGAACATACTTGTCAGATATTATCGATATGTTTTAAAGAATATATTCGTGCATATTTTCGTTTAATACAACAGATGAAAACTAATACTCAACTTGTACTTAATCAAGTATACGAGAGAGAGAAAAATAATTTATTATAAATTCTTTTTTAATTCATAGACAATATCAGCTATGACACTTGAACAATTAAATTGGCAACAAATACTTGAACGATTTACAATAAAAAATAATTTAGTTACCGAACAATTTTTTCAATTAACTATAACAGCAAAAAATTTTTCGGAAAGATTAAAACATTTATCAACAACAAAAATTTCCCTAGGAATGAATAATACTTATAATTATGATAAAGTTTGTTTTTTTATAGATTTTCTTTTTTTTTTCTTAAAAATATTTTATCTCAATAGGAAACTTATATTCAAACAGATGAAATTCGACAGTTAATAAAAAATCGTTATCCAGAAAAAGATTTATATACCGTTATTCAAGATTATAATGGGTCTAATAATAATCGAACAGCAAATTCAAGATCAGAAATTATTGTTCAAAATGTAAGTTAAACATTAGAATAAAAGCAATAAACTTTAGAGGTTACATTAAAAAGTTAATATAAATGTATATTTCATTGATGCGCAGGAGAATGACTGGAAGAAAGAAAAAGATGTTTTTTTTATAAATACTAAATCTATACCAGAGATAAAATCACATATTTTCCAGATCAATGGTTATGTCATTACGATCATAATTTTTATGCAAAATTCTCGAGGTTGTTTTTTGTCAAGTGTAGAATTACTTCTGCTGAATTTAACTATCGTTTATAATAGTATTTTATTGGTAATATATCCTAATCGTTTGATTTGTTCGTTATATAGATAATTGTTTAATTAGAGAAAAATTATTTTGATCGGATACATCAGATGATTTTTTTTATTAAATAGGGTGATATTGTTAGTGTTATTCGTCAATATGATGGAGATAATATTGATCTACACTGGTTTGTAGATAATGGAAGTATGAACATACGAATATTTTTGATTTGAAAAAAGAAAGATATTTTCTTCTTGTTTAGTTACACAAGGTTATATACCTCATTCTATTCTCATTCCAATTACATCTAACAATCAAGTAGATATTCTTTCTTCTCCACCACCAATACCAATTCGTCAGGATTTACAAATACCTACACGAGCTCCTCTACCATTACCTCGTACAAGTCTAAGATCAAATGTTGGACAAACTCTAAATATTTTATCAAGAAATCATACAGGATCAGATCCATGTTTAATCAATTCTGCACACGATGTTGACGAACAAGAAAATGAAGGAATCTATCTAAATCAAGTAGATTGTCGGTCATCATCGTCAACAGCACTATCAACACATGAATATCATCAATATGCTGCTATCGATCCCGATGATTGCATTATCGAGACATCGACTATACAAGAAGAAGTATTATAATTTGTAAGGCAAACCTTTCCACTATAATTCCTATATTAAATTTAGATTTATATTGCATTATATGATTTTAATTGTGCAGCAGATGGTGTTCTTTGTTTGACTGTTGGTGAACGATTAAAAATTTTACAACGTTTTGATGGTGATGGAAATAATGAATGGTGGTATGTTGAAAAAATCAATGATACAAGCCAAAAAGGTTATGTACCAGCAAATTATATTGAAGCTATTTGAATGTATTCAATGAAGTATTTCTTAATATTGAGTGATTTTATGCTTTATTATTAATTGATGTCATATGGAATTTTGTTTTATTTATTTTTGTTTAAAATAACTAATAAATTTTTCTGAATTATTATATTATAATGGTGTTTATTGAATCGTAAATAAGTCTTAGAAGAATTTTATTCGTTTTGCATTTTATGTTCTTGTTTCACTTATATTGTCGAATAGTAAAAGTTTAAATCTACAAAATAAATTAGTATTGCACATTCATCTATTTTTTTTCAAAGAAAGTTCGAACTGTCTGTCAATCTATTAAAATACATAACCTTCGAATGATCTATAAAACGTTATTTAGATTGAAAAGGCAAATCAAAATTATTGTAACATTGTCTAGATACAGAAAATATTCACATGTACCTGATCAAAGTATAGTCATAACTATTTTTTCTATTGTATTGAAATAATGACTCATTATTTATATCGTATCATAAAAACATTTATTTTATACGCCCTCTGATTCTTAACTTTGTTTTTTTCATTACAATACGCGTGATCTAGTGTGTAGCAAAAAACATTTGTTTTTTTCAAGGTGAAACACAAAGATAAGCACACATTCTTCTATATGAAAATGAGTACAAAACATGGATTTTATTATAAAGAAGGACATGAAGAACGATTATTTATTGATTCAACACCAGTTAAACAAGTTATTGATCGTTTATCATCACCACCAACACCATTTATACTCTATAGTTTAAATCAATTTCAACATAATGTTAATACTTATCAACATGCGCTTAATGATCTTGCACCAATTCGTGCTCGATTATCCTATTCAATGAAAGCAAATTATAATCCACATTTATTATCAATATTAAAATCTTCAAAAGTAATGTTAACTACTGTAAGTGGTGGTGAAATGCAATTAGCTTTATCGAATGGTTTTGAAGTAAGTTTTAAATAAAAAATAACATCGATAAATTTTTGTTTTTAAGCCATCAAAGATAATTTTTAATGGAAATGGTAAAACTGATGAAAGTATTCAAATGGCTATTGAATCTGGTGTTTTACTTAATGTTGATAGCTTATTTGATCTTGAAGTTATACTTAAATATGCACGTCAATTAAATAAAATTGCTAATGTACTTATACGTGTCAATCCAATATTAGGTGATTCTAATGTACATGCATATAACACAACTGCATCAAAAACGAGTAAATTTGGTACAAGTATTGATGATTTAGAATCAATTTATAAATTAATTGAAGATAACCATGATAAATGGATACGGTTATTTGGTTTTCATTGTCATTTAGGTTCAACCATATCTAATACACAAGTCATTGTTGAATGTGTAGAAAAAATGATTAAATTATTTGATATGAAACGATTTCATCATCTTCGTTTTCTTAATATTGGTGGTGGATTGAATATTGATTATAAACGATATGCTAATCGTACAGCAAATGAACCTGAAGAACATATTTCAATTCCAACTATTGAAGATTATGTTCAAGCAATCAAACAACCTTTACAATCAATTCCGAATTCTATTGAAATAATTGTTGAACCTGGACGAAGTTTAGTTGCCAACACCTGTGTTATTATAACACGTGTACTTGGACAAAAACAAACAGGTCCAATACGACAACTTATTGTTGATGCATCAATGACTGAATGTATTCGTCCAGCTCTTTATCAAGCATATCATCATATTGATACTGTTATTTCATCACCACAAGAAGAACGTATAGCTTATGATATAGTTGGGCCTGTATGTGAAAGTGGAGATTTTCTTGGTCGAGAACGATGTTTACCAAAGATATTACAACGTGGAGATTTTCTAGCAATTTTTGATACTGGTGCTTATTGTTCAAGTATGAGTTCAAATTATAATATGAGACCACGACCAGCTGAATATACATTAGATGAACATGAACAAATAAAAGTTTTAAAAAAACGAGAAACAAATGAAGATCTTTTACGGACTTATTGTATTGACTAGAATTCTTCGTTTTTTTTTATTGATAAAAAGAATAAAGGATAATTTGATGATCGATGATATCGATGACAATTGGTAATTACCTTGATATACAAAGAAGAGAAGATAAGAATGAATATGATGTATATATATTTTTTTTTAGTTTGGGCAGTCGATGACAATATCGACATTAAAGAGCTTTTTTTCGCTTCATCAACAATGATAAGATGACATTTCAATTATTCAATTGTTTTTTTTTCGTTGCTCTTACCTTACAATCTTAAGAATATTTAAAAAAAGGCCTAGGTGATTGTCTCTCATCCATAGAATTCATTACATCAGCTCAACTTTTTTATGAGAAAATTTTTTTTTTATCGTTATTCATGTGCGGACAACAATAGTGTAGTATACATGCATTGTTCGATCTGAACTTTTATGTCAATGCAGAACAGGTAAAAATGTACAATAGAGTTCACTATTTTAATACGGTCAAGTCTAGTACGACAATAGTTGACCATCAAATACACGTCTATTTCATAGAAATTTTTCTTTCTGTCTGTCTAGAACAGTAAGATCTATTCTGTTCTGTTCTTTATTGCAAAATATGTCCTCTATACATATCTGTCTATCCCTCCTTGTTCTTGATTTAAAAGCGAAAAAGTCTAGAGAAAGAGAGGAAGAGAGAGAGAGAGAATAAGACATAGTGAAAGGGAGAGAAAAAAAGAATAATAATATAACATCTACTTGCATACGTTTTGTATTATTTAGAGTATACTTTGAAGTTGATCTACAAAAGAATATGAATCTCATACATTCTTATATATTATTTATAATTATAAACATATGTTATTCTGGTCCTATTGAAGATATATCTGCTATGCCAGATTTAACTTTAGTAAGTTTTATTAATAAATTCTTTGATTTAGACTTTATTTTCTTCGAATGAAAATATTTCAATTTAGTTTTATCAACAATTAATTCGTCAACCAGAATTGCAAGGATTATTACAAGATGCTTATCAATCAGCACAACCACTTGTTACAGGTGATTTTACAATTTTTGCTCCAAATAATGATGCTATGACACGTATTAATCGAAGAAATGAAGATCCAACTTTATTATGGAAATATCATATTGTACCTGGTCGTTTTGATGATCAAACTATCTATAATATGGCACAAGACAAATTTAATCAAGCTAATCCAAGACAAATGGCAGATAATCGTCCACAAAATAATTTACCTACAATGGCTTTACCATTTCAAGTATGTAAACGAAAACAAATGTTAAAATAAACTAATCCATTTTCTTTTCAGGTATTCTATGGTCTTGGTTTTTATGGTGGTACAGGTCCATATATAAATGTAAGTTATGATAATTCAGGTTATAGTTCAAGCGGTATACCATGGTCAGCACAAACATCACTTAATCTAACAAATAGATTTGACAATTCTGTTCCACTTAGTCCATATCTTGGTATGTATATAACATAAACATTAAATTTGAATTTCAAATTTCTTATTATTTTCTTAAGGCAATACAAATAATTATAGTCCAAATCAACAAACTCAAAACTATGTTGTTGCACAAGGTAGATTTAATAGAATTTATAATTATAATATTATTTTCTTCTTTGAATTTTTTAGGTAGTGCATCATCGGGTAATCCGAATTTATTTCCACAAAATTTAACTAATTATTATACGAATGTATTTAATCCAAATGTAAATACACAATTTCTTCAAAATGCTAATCCACCAAATACAAACATTAATCCAAATCTCCAACAACAACAACAGCAGCAACTTTATGCACAAGGGAATTATGCTGGTATTGGAATATTAGTAAGTTCTTTGAATAATTAGATTCTTTGTTTATAACGAGATATGAGTGATCTATTATATTCGATAGACTAAATAAAATGAATTAAGAAACCATTAAATAGACGCGACAATTTTTGAATTGATTGTCTATTAATTTGATGTTTTAATCACTGAATTAAAACATTCCGATATTTACATTACATAACAAATAATGAAGCGTGTAATCATATGAATGAACTAGCGAAACTCCTCAAAAGCAATTGAAAAAAAATCGCATCCAGTCATTATAAGAATCGATGAACACTAATGCATAGTCATCAATATCTTGTGAGAATACATCAAGCGTTTTAAGATAGGAACTATATGATTGTCTCTTTCAATGTCATTGAAACATCAACAGTATATATGAAATATCTTGATTGTTAATTAGTATCCTACTATCTGAAAAGTTTGCTAAACGCTAAACAATTATGTCGTTATACTTCATACTCTGAACAGTAATACTGTTTAATATGAAGTAAAAAAAAATTGTTATATCACAAAGATCAATTTTAAATGAATATTTTTGTTTTTGTCTTTCAGCGTCCTACAATAAATAGTGCATTTATCTTACAATCACGTCCAATGAGTCGTGGTATAATTAATGTAATCGATAATATTTTATGGCCACCTGAACGACGTGATCAAACTCAATATAAAACTGCTTATGATGCTCTTGAAGATACACAATTTTCGTAAGATTTGTTTTTTTTGTGAAGAAAAACAGATTGAGTTACTTTTTATTCTAGACGTCTTCGTTTATTAGCTGATCGTAGTGATTATTTTCGATCTGAATTACGTTCAATGCATCATCAAACTTGGTTCTTACCAAATGATCAAGCATTTACTAGTTTTGGTTCAAGTTTAAATTTTCTATTTGAACCCACTAGTCCAGAAAATACACATGATATCAATGATGTAAGATTTTTTTCATTTTTTTATTTATTTAATAGAAAATGTTTCTTTTTTCCATAGTTTATCAAATCACATATTGTACCAATAGTACTTTATCCATGTGCTATGGATGCAAGTAAACAATTGAGTACATTAAGTCTTGGTAAATGGGTAACATTTCGTAGAATAGGACAAGCAGATCAGACATTTCAAAGTATGATTTTCTTGTTTTTATTTTTTGAAATTATTTATAAAATATTTATTTAGTTGATGTTGTTTCAAATCGACAAGTAGCACATATTGTTACAACACGTTCGGAAGATATTAAAATATATGGTAATGGTGTTGTTTATCCAATAACGACTATTCTCAGTGGTCCAGCTCGATCAGCAGCTGATGAACTTGCTCGAAGTTATCAGTAATATAATTGAAAAAAAAATACAAGAAAATATAATTCTTTTTTTTTTCATAGATACTTTATGGCTCTTATACAACAATCTGGAGATACAGAATTAGTTAATATATTACAAGGTAGTACAAGTGGTTTAGGTAATACAGGTCCGAGTATATATAATCCACAAAATTTATTGAATATAACTGTTCTTATACCACAACAAATACATGTACAACAATTGGGAAATTCTCAAGAACTGAGTAAAGTACGTATATAAAACAAAAAAAGAATAACAGTTAAAAAATTATTTATCTTTATTTATTTAGAATTTACGCCGGCATATTTTACGTTTTCCTGTATATATAGATCAAATGGCAGCTATGACAAACACGATTGTACCACAACAACCATTTATTCAAACAGGTGTTCCAATACAGCAATATCAAAGATCTGGTGCTGTTCAAAATAAAAACCCATCACGACAACGTCGTCGCCGTCGGCAGTTGAACAGTCAACATAATGTAAATTTTCAACAGCATCAAGTGTTACCATCTCAACCAATATTACCCAACCAAAGGCAACAACAACAAAATTTACCTATGCAACAACGACAACAGCAAATACAACCTAAGCAACAACTATTACCAAATCAACAACAACAACCTTTACCTAATCAACAGTACCCCCCAAATCAACAACATCAACAGCAAATACAACCTAATCAACAACAACAACCTTTACCTAATCAACAGTTTCCCCCCAAATCAACAACATCAACAGCAAATACAACCTAATCAACAGTTTTCACCAAATCAACAACATCAACAGCAAATACAACCTAAGCAACAATTATTGCCAAATCAACAACAGCAAATTTTACCTAATCAGCAGTTTTTACCAAATCAACAACAACAAATCTTACCTAATCAACAGTTTTTACCAAATCAGCAACAGCAGTTCTTACCTAATCAACAACAACAAATCTTACCCGATCAACAATTATCTCTACAACAACAACAAATCCTACCTAATCAACAACAGCAAATCTTACCCATTCAACAGCAACAACAACAACAAATCTTGCCTAGTCAGCAATTAGCTCTAGCACAACAACAACTTAATCCAGTACTTAATCCAAGTTACTATCAACTACCAAATTTTCCAACTTCAGGAATGTTTCAAAATGGACAAACATATCCTACGATGGATCCAACATTTTCTGTTCAAGCACAAGTAACTGCTGGTCCCAATGGAAATGGTATATATTTTTATACATGATTATTGCTTCTTCAATTGTCATTTATAGACTAAAGATAATTTCAAGATAAAATAATTAAAACATTCAGAAAATCAGACAATTTTGAGAGAAAGTTCCTTTGCTAGTTTCCAAGAAGTTCAGATTCTGAAAGCCAAATTTGAGTAAAATAAAATATAAAGATTAAATGAAAGCTTCGATTACTCTATATTGATGCATATTATAGTCTTTTTTCCACTTGGAATACTGTCGAATATTTATAAAAATTTTCTATTATAGTGGTAACACTTATTGGTCGACCAGATAATTCAATACCATTCACAGCTACAGTTCTTAATACTGAATCGAATATACCAATAAAAAATGGTGTTATGCATGTTATTCGTGGTATCCTATCGGGAGCAGTTATTCCATTAGATACAGTTCTTACAACAATGCAAGGAGCTAGGTAAAATATTGTTTTATTTGTCTCAAAAGAAATTTTATTGTATTGTATGTAGTTCATTTACACAATTACTTCAACAAACAGGTGTTATTGATCAATTAAAACAATCTGGACGTCCTTATACTCTTTTTATCCCAACCAATACAGCGTTACAATCGATTGGCGTTACTAATGATATTAATCGAATTCGACAAGTATTTGAAATTTTTGAATTTAAAATATATTTTTATTTCTGTATTAGTTTGTGCTTCGTCATGTATGTGCTGATGTTATTTTGGATCCAATGGCAAATATAGTAAGTAGTTCAGGAGGATATCTTCGTCAGAACAACATGGCACAAGGTCCACGACAACCACCTATACGACGAAATCGTCGTAAACGACAAGATTGGGCTGATACTTGGAGAAATGGAACAATATCTCTAGGTGGACAAGGTTATAAAGCACCAGATCTTGGTCCAGGTTATTTTCAACCACAACAACAAGTCTATGGTGGATATCCAGCTGCTCCATCACCATTTAGTACCTATAATCAATTGTACAATCCAGGTTATGTTATGAGTGGTTATGCAAATCCAAATTCTCAATATTTTCCTGGCTATAACGGAACTTACGCAGGATTTGAACAAATTAATTATCCAACTTTAGATGTTCCAGGTCAACCAATGTTAAATACTGTTTGGAATCAAACATTTGGTTCTTCCTATAATCCACAAATTAACGTAGTGCCAATAAATGGAGTACCAATAAATGGAGTACCTAGTGGTGGTGGTCAGAGTTATTATACAGGTGTAGGTGGATTTTATAGTGGTTCGAATTATGTTCCCGGGCCCCAATCATGTATGGCTATGACAGGTGAACGTATTACAGTTCAACCAATAGCTAGTGCTCCAGCAGGAGGTACGTATAGAATATATCGAAGAACTAATAAGAAATAAAAATATCTAATAGGAAAAAATGCAACAAATAAAACGGGTTTGTTCATCACTTATGATGATTAATATTTCACAAGCTTTCCGCTATACATTGCATTGATATTCATATTATTTAAAAGGAATAATGAGCTCGAGACAGACGAGTTAATTTATAAATACACAGATGCTTGATACTTATTCTTAGTTATAAAAACAAGAATTAAATTAATTTTCATATATTCTTTTAGGTGTTAATCCAACAATGTCTTATCAAAGTAAATAACATTATTCTCTATGAATATTATATTAATAAATAATTTCTTTTTCTAGATTTTATGGTAACCTGTTGTGGTGATCAATCTGTTAATGCAATGGTTCAAGCATTCAATGTATATCCACCAAGTTATGCTGTTTATGTCATTGGTCGATCATTATTATCTACAGGCCAAACAATCAATACAATGTATAATCATTCAACTGCAATATTTCCTTATCACTTTCTTCTATTTATCTTAATTACTTTATTAATCTTTATTAAGCATCTTTAATCATTGGTATGCTGTGTCTATATGTACATAAATTCCTACCTTTTTTTTACAATAGATTTTTATTATTAAATAAACCAAAAAAAAACTAATAATGTTACATAAACATATAAGTATACAAAAAAAATAAGAATGTTTTCTTAATTAACAAGAAGTGAAGTAGTTGATAGATTTGAACTACTTGAATATGAATAAGAAAGTTTTGAATGATCACGTTGATCAGTAAATGGACATTCTTGTATAAATATATCATCACGTTTGGAATTATTTTTCATATATAATTTATTTTCATTACAATTAATTAACATACAATAAAATGCTGATGCTAAATCTGTTTGTACTGATAAATGACCATGATCAGCAAGATTTTCACATAGAATTGAAAATTCAACAGTTGCTTGTGAAGTATGATTTAATGATGATTGTTGACTTGCTGTACTTGTATCAAGTGATAAAGTACGTTGATGTTCAATTTTTTGTCGTTTAAATTCTTCAATCATTTGACGTTTTAAATTTTTTGCATTAACTGATGTTGAACCTTTAGCAAATTCGATTTTTTCATAATGAACAGGACGAATGAAATCATAATTCATAGCTGCTAATGGAGCGTCTAAAAACAAAAAATTGATATTATTTTTTTCTTTAGATATAATCAGATCATATACCTTCATCATCATCATGATGTTCAATTGTAATATGAAAATCATGATCATCATTATCATCATGATTATAATGTTGTTGAATATGTTCTTGTTGCTTATCATTTAGACGATTAATTACATGTAAACGTTCAAAATTTAATTGTGGAAAATTATGTGAATTAGTTAGATCAGTTAATGGACGTAATTTTCGAGCTAATTGCATTTGATTTAAACTTTTTTCTCTCATACGTAATATAAGTGCACTTTGAGATATTCCAATAGATTTTTTATCTCGTCCATTATTAATACCCAACATAATTTGATCAATAAATGTTTGATTAGAAAAATCAACACGAACAGTTCGTTTTGGACCGACTATACCAAGATTTCCTACTTCACTATTAACTCTATGACGAAACGCGGGTGCTTGTTGATGTTGAATAATTGAAGTATTTGTTGTTGTTGTTGCTGCTTTAGTTGTATTAAGTAAATTTGTATATTTCCATATATTTGGTCCAGCAAAAAGTTTAAGTTTAGCGGCATCAAAATATGAGTATTCAGATTGAACATCTTTTGAATGTAATAAGTTTGGCATTTGATCAGCAAATGATATTGTACTCATAAATGATGCTGATAGAATTTCATCAGCAGCTGGAAGATTGAACTAAAATGATATTCATTCAACTCTTAGTTATGATCTTAATTGATCGTTCAAGGTTACGAAAACTTACATCAGATGATTGTTGTGATTGATAATTTCCGAGATTAGAAATCATACTTGATGGATCTTGATGACTCAATTCACTTAAAGCATTTTTAAAAACTTCATTTGAGTGTGATGGATCATCGTTAAGATCTTCAATAGCAGCATGTACTAATTCATCATGATTATAACCATCATCATTATCTACATCATCATTATTTGAATAGGATGATTTATCATGACTTTCATCCATTTGTCCAAGACAACTTTCATGTATTGTATCAATAAACGAATTACTTGGTGTTTCATTAAATGAAAAATCACGTAATGCTTGATTACCTAGAAAAAATTAACATATTTTAATTTACATATACATATATACACATAATATTTTTTACCAAGAATATGATCATGTGTTTCATTAGTTCTAATAACATCACGTAATGATGTTAAATCAATCATTTTTGCTATTGTATGGTCAAGGATAGTATCGATTTTAGTTTGTTGTTCTTCTGGTCGATTATTTGCATTCGTAAAACCATCAACAAGTGGATAATCACTTGATGAATACATTGTACTTGAAACCATTTCAGCGTATATAGAATCTTTACCAATTCCGCCACGCCATTGACACATATTTGGTGGTTGTAATGGACGAAATTCAAATTCATGTTCTAGAGTTATTTTAGATAAATCACTCGCAATAAATGTTGTAACCTTGGATTTAACACGACGCGCCGCTTTTTT